TTCAACATATGTCACATACCAACTACTTGTGTGTGTGTTCTCACCTATTCCCCTCCATCATTGAACTATGAATGCAGGCTTCTGTATCTCCAGGCTCAAAGGTCTAGCTATAGACATTACCCGTTCGTTCTACCTGAAGACGGGTACAGTCAGCTTCAAAACGTCTCATGTTTCTTTGTGCTTTCTTCGCACGAAGTATAGACCTATTAAAAGAACGCCTAATGGAATGGCCGTGTCTGTACGTACTATGAACTACTTTACGAAGCTGAGCAATTCGGCTTAAGCGGTGATGCCCCTGATTTATATTTGGGACATGCCCAGTTCGAATCTTGGATAGGACACCGACTGTTGTGACTGTGGGTTTTTATGCTTTTTGTTAGAACGTAAAATGAAACTACGTCTCCATTTCTATACATCCCATACGCTTCGTTGGACCGCCTCTGTGGTCCAGTGGTCAGAATTCCTGCCTACAGATCCAGAGGTTCACTCAGCCTCGTGAGGATAATTGAGGAGCTGTTTCAAGGAAATAGCGGCTCCATTCTAGAAAACCGAAATTAACGGCCGTGGGGATTCGTTGCGCTGACCACGCGACACAATCTGTCCGCAAAAGTTGACACTAATTTCGTCGACAAGTGGCGGTTGCTCGGTCGGTATAGTTCACTTGCGGACTCAAGCTACGGAGTTTGTTAGTTTTTACGCTTAATTACTCACTGTCATTCTGTCATTCGATTCTAAATAGTTGAGGATACTGAAAACGTAGTTAAGAAATTCATAAATAAATAAATACATAAACAATCTTGGGTAATCCAAAGCAGTCCCTATGATTAATTAATCATCACGCCTTGAGGCGTGGGGAGAGTGGAAGTATAACGCCACGCATTCTTGATCTCGACACTAAATGAGGCCGGCCACTTTACCTTCATGGAAGGTGCCCCCAGTACCCACTGGGTAGGAAGCTAGGCTGGGGCCCAGGGCATATCCGAACTCTGTGAAGGAGAGAAAAACGTTTGCCCGTGCCAGTAATCGAATTACAATCCCTTAAGTCTTCCAGCCCGGCTTCTCAGGTACTCAAACGAGATTAAGGCAATTTTGTGAAGGGAAGGGGTCACCCACCTAAAAATTGTGAATTAAACTTACACTTTATCAGCAACTTATAACTCCTGCTTTATTTTAAGGTCAGATTTAGCTGCATTAAATAATTTCGAAGTGACTCAGCAATGAGAAAGTTTGTCCTGACAGGAAATGTGCATATCATTAAGGCCCCATGACGTTTATCGCGCGCGCGTTTCGATGCGATGAATATTTCAAGAAACAGGAATGGAAACGTTTCTGACTGCGTGCTATTTCTTGTATCTGAATTGTGATTATCTCCGTCACGGTAGATTTCCTTACACAATAAATTACTATCAAGGCTAGTGGCGTTTATAAAATCATGAAAGACACTCAGAAAATTCGTGTTGACCTCCAGCGTTAGAGTATTACACACGTTTGCAGACTTAATTATGCAGACAATGGACAATGTTGAAAGGAAATGCTCCAGTGTCTTTTAGAGCCACATACCCAGACCTTGATATCGAAATGGCAGGCGACAGGCTCGAACTATTACTCGGGACTAAGATGCTACAGAAAGGCGGATGACCCCGGTTCCTTCCTGAGGTCATGAGCTGTCTTTTGTCGCGTGTCTTATGGAGCCAACCTGTGGAACGCTTCCTTCCGGCCGTCGTTCGTCTGCAGACCAGTTGCTCTTTCAATTTGAGCTCGCTCTTCTAGGGCAGCGGTGCGACAACTGTGTGACACGACTCTCTTTAATCCCTTCTTCGGTTACGTAAGAACTTCAGGTAACCAAACGTCGCTGTTGAGGGGGTAGCGGTCTTTCTTCTTATTCTAAATGTCCCGAGTTCAAGCTTCGGTCCGAAGACCCGTTTTCTTGACTGAGGTCTGTCGTATTCCGCAGGCCCTACAGGAATTATGCCACACAATTTCCAGTCCATCATTCACCAGTCAACGCACCATTCGACGTCATATACTCTGGGCTACTGAACCTGTCGCTAAGATGAAATAAACAGCTGCAGAGTTATATGGCTTACAGATTTGACCGAGATGTAAAGATGATCATGACTTCATGAGTGATCTGCAGATAATTTTTTGAAACAACGCGGTTGTAGTCTGCCTCGAGATAATCCGCGACGTACCCTTAGACAGACTGAAGACAACCATAAAGACATTGTCAGAATAACATACGCTCGAGCTGGATACATACACATACAGGTGTGATGTTGTACCACGTATTGTGCCAGAGAAAAATACGCTGGTCGTTGTAGCCTTAATTTTCTAGACCGGGATTTCGCAGGTATTTGTGTAGCAACGGTCGCCGAGCGGACAACAGAAAATACCGTTCCTCTGTTGCTGTACCATCGTTGCGTTCGTGTCTGTGGCTGCGGGAACGTATTTACCGAGTCGTTGCCTAGAAACGGCTCTGGTATATTTGCTTATCTCGCGGTCGTTGCATAGTAACGCATCTACACGCTACAATATTAAGTTAAGATGTTAAATCATTAAAATAAGAAATAAAGTGTTCACAAAAACTACATGAAAGAAACAACATTTCTCCCTAATACAAGAACACTAGCCGGGAGAATAACGCAATCACATACCTGCATACCAACAAACACACACAGTGTTCAGTACAAGGCAGGGAAAACCCCTGAAGAAATGCACGGGCAGGAGATGCACGCAACTGCTACGCCCAGATAACACATTAGAAACCCTTTTATAAACACGTAATTTCTAATTTAAGCTATTTAACATTTTAACTATTAATATTTAATCTTAAGGTGACCACTCCTTTTTATATATAACGGCATTACACATTACTAAACCAATATTCAAATATGCGAACACTGGCCAATGTAGGATTGCTGTACTAGCAGACCAATACATGTAAATATAAAAAGAAAATAAAAGCTCTCCCTATAACAGTCCGTGAAGGTCCATAGAGTTGTGAGACGTCGAGGGTCCCACATTTTGTCTAGACACTCGGCTCACAGATGGCGGTAAGGTTGTCAGCCTTACTCGCCCGCCTCCCTTCACCCCCCAGAAAGATTCCTGGTACTCATTTATGTTAGAGGCTGCGTCGACCCCAGGACCATAGTGCGGCTGGGAGGATTAGATAGATTGAAAAAAAAATCAACCTCATCTGGACTCGAACCTACGACCTTCCGGCTTCTAGCATAGTCTCTCAAGCAACTACGCTACAGCGTGACCCACATTTAAATGTAAACAAGTCAAATACTTTATAATGGCTCAGTGAGCCGAAACATGTCATGAAAAAACGACGAATGTATGAAGTGTCCGTATTTCTTATTGCAGTGTCGTTTGCTGGTGTTAGGTTCAGGAACTCGAAAAACCGAAATTCGTTTCACGGCGGGACCAGGAATTTTTATTTTCGCCACTCTTTCAAGACTAGTTGTGGAACTAACTCGGCGTCCTAACCAGTGGTCAATGGAAGCTGTCTTCACATGCATAAGGATAATCGCAGCAGTACCTCCACGTCACCTTCATGGCATGGTGCCTAGCACCCACTTACCTACAGACTCTTATTGTACATTTCTTCCTACAGTTATTAGTGTATATATTCTGTACTGTACACGCACGTGGGTAAAGTAGAATTGTAAATATGTAATAACATGTACCTGTTTTGGTCGCTTTGCATGATGGGTAACGAAGCACAGAGTCTATGTAATTGGCCGGTCTTGACAGCTGTACGAGCAGTGCTAGTCTTCTCAAGGTGTGAAGCCTATGGACCATGCTGTTAACATGGAGTTTTACATCCCTTGCGCCTTCACTAAACGTAATTACTTTAATTCACCATTAAGCAATAATTGAAGTTTCAAATGACGTCATGAGCTGAAGTTTAAGTTATCAGAACGGAAGACGCTCCTTACTTCGTTCTTCCTCAACACTACAGGATTCAAATTATTTTTGAAAAAAAAAATAAGCTGTGTAGCCTGTGGTCTAGTGGCCAGCGTGCCTGGCTACATATCCAGAGGTCCCGGGTTCGATTCCCGGCTCTACCAGATTTTCTGAGATGTAGTGGGTCTGGAACGGGATGCACTCAGCCTCGTGGGGATAATTGAAGAGCTTTTTCAAGAAAACAGGGGCTCCGGTCTAGAAAACCGAGATTAACGGCCGTGGGGATCCGTTGCGCAGACCACGCGACATCCTCTATCCACTAAAGTTGGCACTAACTTCGCCGACAAGCGGCGGTCGCTCGGTCGGTATAGTTCGCTTGCGGAATACAAGCCACGGAGTTAGTTTAGTTAGCAAGGCTACTTTTTCTTCAGACCCAATGAAACGTCCTATGTTGTTCTCCAACCACTTTTAGCCCTAAAAATTGTCAACAACTCTTAGAATATGTACGGGCTTAAGTAAGTTTTAACCAATCCCAGATTCTGTAGACCTGCTTCAAAAATATTTAAATAACTATCAATTCTTCTCACTGACCGAACATACCCAGTTGATACACCGACCGAACGACACGAACGAGCTAGTATTGCTTCTGCTTCACATTCAGGAAGTTCTAGGTTCAAATCTCGGCCCAGAGACCGACTTTCTTATTGTAGTTTTCCTCAACCCCTCCAGGCATATGCCGGAATAGTAGCTCAAAGTATGCCACGGCTGCTTAAATCCACGTCCTCTCTAAATTATTAACCATTCTAACATTCGACGGCATGTAAGCTGAGCTGTTGAAAGTGTCGTTAATAGACGATACACAAATACCAGCAAAAATTTCGGGCCGGGGAACTTGTACTGTGACATATCGGATACTTAGGATGGAACAGTAAGTTATTCTGTCAATTAATTCGTCAGTCAATCATGCAGAGAGGCAATTAAATAGTCAACCACTCAGCTAGCCTATGAACCGTAACTGCCATTCTGACAAACATTACATGGACTCTGTTGCAGTCACTGTAGCTTGCACCGTATATGTTATGTTTCAGATCGAGTCGCTCTGGTGGCAGCACCTCCAAGCTACACACGAATGTATCACTACTACCCGTACTGTTACTATCCACGGTACCCAGGTGGGTGTAGTGCCTACATAAAAATAAATAAAAATAAAAAACCTATCCACGTAGCAGGCTGTGGAGGCTCATAGGGTTATGAGACGTCGAGGTTCTCACATTTGGTAGACAGTCGCCTTACGGATGGCGGTGGGGTTAACTTTACGCGCCGGCCGCCATTTATCACCAGGAAGATTCCTGGTCCTCATTTCTGCCGGGCTGTCGATATAAAATATGCCACCCGAACCCAAAGAGCAATTATATCATTACATCACACCTGTAACTTGACCGTGCAGGCCCCAAATTCCTAGTGTTGCCACAAGAATAATCCAGAAGCTGTAAGGAAAGGAAGACTACATTTGATAATTGTATATTTTCACTGTACAGGAAGCCATCAGTCATCAGAACAAGTGTATATGTTATTCACTACATGGGTTTGCAGTGGGTAAAATTTGGATTTTGTAAATATATTTCCTTGCCACACCCAAATGTCCTTAAGTCGACAACACTTACACTTTGTCTTGGGAAGGCTGTGGTTCTGTGTCAGTGAGAGACAATTAATACAACCATTTATTGGTATTATATATATATATATTGTGTGTGTGTGTGTGTGT